CTAGGAACAGTAAGAATAACACCTTGATGTTGTCTTCTTTCTGAATCTCATGCTTTTAAAACTCAGATTTATTTTAGCTCAGGTGACAGGAAGCTCAATCAGCAAAATTTCAAAAGAGGAGGAGAAACTTGGTAGGTGTTTTCTTAATAGTCAGTATCCTGAGTGAGGGATATTGTGTGAATTGTGAACTTTGTCTGAATCTCAAACAGAACTTCCTCCAAGTTAAGCAGGTTGTTCAGGGGTTTTTGGTCTTGTCTGCTTCAGAACTGTCTCACTCTCTTACAGCTTCTGTAAAGATTATATGCTCCGTCTTGCAAACTCCAAAGTACAGACTCGGCACCTCTGCAAAGTCTTTTTTTAATAAGAAACAGGAATAGTTTTTTGCTTATAAGCTTAGGTCCAGACTAACATGCATTTATTTGAAGTTTGAAGGAGGGGAAGGTGGTACAAAATTCCACTTATAAGCTTAGGTCCAGACTAACATGCACTTATTTGAAGTTTGAAGGAGGGGAAGGTAGTACAAAATTCCGCTTTATCCCTAGTTTGTCAGCTATCTGGCCCAGGACAGAAAAATAAATTAAAGAATAACTCTCATTAATGTCCACTGGAAACTTGCTGGGATCTGCTTGTTTAGGTCTTTGAGTTCATGTCTACATATAAAAATAGAGTATTATACATGCTCATGTTTATGCTGCCTAATTTCTAACATGAACGAAGGGTGAGACTCTGTAATAATGATTACAATATTATACCTATTCCTGCTTACCTGTGTTATCACTACAGCACTGTTCGTAGTGTGTCCCACTATATAAATTCCCTTCTCTCTCACAAGCAGTTGATACTTTTACCTTGCTCTTAATATACAGAGTGGACACAGGACATCCAAAGATTTTGTCATCAGTGAGGGCTGACTCAGGGTATTAGCCCAAGACAGGAAGCAATTGTTCATCTGCATAATCTCTGTGGCAGGCTGACAAGTGACAAGAAATGGATGAAGAGCTTCAGCCCTGCTCCATCCTTCCTACTGTGTGCAAGTACAGATGCATGGTAGGCTGCAGAGGCAAGGGATAAATCACTACTAATTCAGATGAAAAAGCTCCTGCACAGGATAGCTTCCACTTTGTATCTTTCTAAAAGCTCTAATTAAAGTCACTGTATGACCACCTATTAAGAATGGTCCTCTATAATGCCTGGTTTGAGGTTTTTCTGAAACAAGGTTATTCCTAGGGTTTTGTTCTTCAAAAGTCTTTAATCCTGACTCCAGTTGTCTTAACAAAAAGTTTGAAATACTTCGTAAACTCCTGGTTTGGGGATACGAGCACTCTGTTGGTCTGACATCAAAGTGAATCAATGAGCTAGCTGTGCATTTCTGTCCGCTGCTTTAGCCATATATTCTTTTGCAAGTGTCTAGAAGCTGTCACCCTGCTATGCTGTGATGAAAATAATTGGATATAGTTCCCACTTCTGTTATTCCCATATGATATTGCTGCTGGTGAAGAATACTCAAAACTGATGGCTCTAAAGGCAAGTTTGAAACTTCAAAAGCCAAGTGTTCACACGTGCTGAGCTGCATCCTTCTCCAAGGAAATGTGCAGAGAGCTGCACCATATATCAAAGAACAGTCAGACATAAGACTGTTCCCCCAGATGAACGATATGCAGAAGGAAGGTACATTCAAGGATCTAAATAGTGAGGAACTCAGTACTCAAACTTGGAATCAGGAGAACCAAATAATTCTGGAGGATGGGAAGGATGTATAAAAATAAGGAGATAGAAAAGGAAATTACAAATCCAGTGAAGATAGACATTTAATAATCTGTGAATACTAGGCCACCTGCCCTTATGATTTTTATTTGTGCATTGAAACCTGTAGGTTTGGATACTGCATAAAAACATGCTGGGTTTGCCACAGCTTAGTAAAATTTCTGCTGTGTGATAAACTATGTTTCAGCAAGGTGGTGTCCTGACCTGACAAGAACCTAAGGGTGGGGAAATTCCTGAGAATCCTACCTGCTTCATACTTCTGCTTTCACAGGCAAGCAACCTTCAGGGAAGTTTGAAGGATACTCAACAAACCAGACATTTTTGTGTATTACAAAGTTACAAGATGAGCCCTGGATGCCATGTGTTGACAGCCTATAAAGACTACATTTGGTTCTTGGCCAAAATGTCAATGTGTGGAAATTTTGGCTTCCTATTTAAAAAAAATAGATCTCTAATTCAAAATCTCTGTTTAATGATGTTTGCTCTACAATGTTTTTATCAAATCATGGCTGACAAATAGCCCTGCTCTGAACTGATGTTTTAATTTTGTCTTTACTGAGACTAAACTTGTTCTAGCTTCTGAACAGGCAAGATACAAAGGCAGCCTGACAGCCTACAACATCTCTATCTGACCCCACCAGATCAGAGAACAACAGCCCCAGAAATGGGATCTTGGGAACAAAATCACTCCTGACACTGCTGCAGGAATGGAGAGTTTGAATTGGTTTTTGCAGCTGGAGATGTCTAACAGACGTTCCTCTGTGTAAGGAAATTTTCTGCAAGCAGAATTGCCTGAGACATCTCTTCCTCAGCATTATATTTTATGTTATGAATTTTGCAGAGCTACCCGTGGCACTATCCAACACACTATTCTTGCTACTGTACTTTTCATGTCCCCACAATGGTACCATAGCCAGCTGGACCGTGCAAGCTCTGTTGAGAAATTTATTCTAATCACTAACTGTATCACTAGCATTATAGGAAGACAAGTAGTAAGTGATTTACTTAAAAGTTTAAAGATATATTGCTTCACCCCATGCAGTTTATCCAAATACCTCATCCTATTTTCAAACATAAATAAGTATGTTTGGGTTGGCCAAGTTTTTTCCAGGGATAATTCAGAGTACGTTGCAGGAAAGGCAGTCACTGCAGTCAAGCAAGCCTCAAATATCCTTCCCTCTCCTAGGTTACTGAAAAATTAATCCATTGACTGAATAAAGGGGAAAAACCTTACAGTCAAAACTTTCCGTGCCTGCAGATGTCCTGATTTTTTGGTTGTTCATTTGTACTGTAACACGGCCAACATGTGTCCAAGGCCAGGCAAAGAGCAAAGGGCTCGCTCCCAGAATGTCTTATGCAGTACCTGTAAATAGGGGTGGTAAGACTGAGGTAGGCAATCATTAGAATTGTGCAAGACAGAGATAAGTCAGTAAGCAACCTCTTCCCAAAGTAAAGCACAAAATTACAGCTTTTAGTAGAAATGTAGGGTTTGTGTTTTTTTTTTTTCTCTTGGCAGGCTTGTCTTCACTGTAAAAATCCAGCAGGTTTCTGTTCCATTTCTTCTCTACTACGTTCTGTTGTGCTGGCTGTCAGGGAAGCCAGTGGTGCAATAAGAGTTTCACTGTGTACTGATCAAGTAAAGGTGTTGGTAAGTAAAGATCAACAGGACAAGGGGTGATGATTTTAAACTAAAAGAGGGTAGATTTAGACTAGACATAAGGAAAAAATTTTTTACAATGAGGGTGGTGAAGTACTGCAACAGGTTGCCCAGAGAGGTGGTGGAAGCCTCATCCCTGGAGGCATTCAAGGTCAGGCTGGATGGGGCTCTGAGCAACCTTATCTAGTCAGAGATGTCCCTGCTCACCGCAGGGGGGTTGGACTAGATGACCTCTAAAGGTCCTTTCCAGCCCAAATGATTCTATGATTCTAGGATCTCTTTTGCTGTGATAAGTATTTGACCATACTGAGCCCATGCAACCCTCGCAGGTGTAGATGTGCTGGTTAGAAAGGACTTTTGTAGGCTGCCCTACTGGGGCACAGCAAGCTGATGAGGAGGACTGTTAGCAGGATGTAATCTATTGGTTTAACACCATTCTGTCCCTGAGTATTCTCTGTATAAATGCATTATCTGCTTTTGAGGAGCAGTTTCCCTAGTACTTGACTTCAATATGGCTGTCCTGTGTTTAAAATAAAGAGAAATAATTGAGGTGACTAGCAAAATTCACACTGGATTTGATTTTCTCTCCTTACCCCAGTCTATCAACCAAATGGTGCTTCCTTAGGCTTGTTTTTCATTTTGACTGGTAGAACTGGGAGAAAATATGGCCAATTGACTTTAGTATATGGCTTATTTACTATGAAAGTTTGTCAGCTCATGTTTGTGGTAGCTTCAATTTGTATTTTTCAGTTAAACACAGAATACACGGGGCATGATGGCTTCAAATTTGACCCTCATATTAAAATCAAGGACAGTGACAAGTTGCACCACAGTAAGAATGTCACACAGTTTGCCCTTATGATGTTACTGCCTGATACTGTTCTGCTCAGAGAGGGCAGCAAAGTATTGCAAATCTGTGATCCAAGAGGACTTTGGCTCTAAGGTGTAATACTGAGGAAGAAAGGTATCATTAATATACAAGGTCTGAGAGGAGAAGTTGGGAGGTAATCAGATCATTACTACTTAAGCGCACTTAAGCTTTTTGTCCTTTAAGCTATGGGTATTTGCTAGTAGTGGAGATGCTAACAAGAGGAACAGCTTAATCGCGCTAAGCTTAGACATACAGCAATCCTGATAGCTGTGGAAAGAAGAGTCTCAGCAGAAACACAACAGCTGGAGAGTTCAGGATTCATCCCAAACTGGAATGCTGTATGACTCATTTCGCATGAAGAGAAATGCCTTAAATTTAGACACACAATGAATAAAACATTGAAATAGATTTGCAACACGGTGAGACTGATGACTGTTGCTATATTAGCTATTTTCATTACACCTTGAGATTTTCAGATTCTTATAAGCTTGGTTGTTTCTTTTCTGGTTTCCATACATAAAGATACAATCAAAGCCTAGATGAAATGGTTCAGACACTGTCCCTTGTTCTTGGTCTTTTGCTTGAAGATGGGAGTGTATTTCCTAGGCGATGTAGGCAGCTCTTTCCTAGGCAACCCTTTAAAATGACGTAAATGAGAAATTTATGAAATGACTCTGCTTGATTTGTCACAGATCTGTGGACTTAGCAATGACTCTTCTTCAGTCTTTCAATGCCTTGGTACTTTGGCTTTCACTGCTGATAGTAACAAGTTCAGTTAACACAGATAAACCTGAAAAGAAAATTTATTCCTGCCCTGTAATTCAGTGCAGTGCTCCTGCAGTCAATGGCTTACCAGGCAGAGGTGGAAGAGATGGTTCTAAAGGTGAAAGGGAAAACCAGGTACAGAACTATGACCAGTTAGCAATATTATAGTTTTGACACTCCTTATTATTCCTTTAGTCTTGTTTCATGGCTCCTTCATTCTGTCATTTTACCTTTTTACTTCTCTTTTCTTCTGCCTCATTAACCTTTGGTAGGTTCTGCACAATTTCAGGAAGCTGAAAACACTTCCTGCATTTGTAACGCTACTCTGGATACTTGGCTTTTAATAAATAAAAAAATACAATACATATTCAGAGCAGCTCATAAGACAGAGATGTAATGAGATTTTCATCTGATTGTACCATTTGTACTCTGAATCACTTACAGAGTTTCCTATGATACACTACTAAATGATTATTACTTTTTCTTTCCAGGGGCCAGCTCTCAAAAACAGAAATCATGCTTGCTAGAGTTGGCTACTAATCTGATGGTCATAACTTGATTGCTTCATAGTCACTAAGTCCCAACAACAGAATTCCCCTAAGGCATGATTTGTTGATTAGGTAACTTTTTTCATGCACTGCTGCAAACAGCAAATAGATCAGCAAGTGCTTTCTGTCATGTGGTAGAACCAAGTCACCTGCTCTCCCAAGTTGCCAAATCACAGTTTCTGTCTAAACACTTAATAAGTACATATAGAATCATATACCTTCTCACCGCATCCAGTCTGTGTTACCGTGTTTATACCACACATCTTGGAATTAGATAACTGCTTTTCAATCTCCAAGCAAACTCCTATCATTATCAATACCACTTGATGTGAACTATGACATAAAATTTCAGTGGCATATGTTGATATTCTGTAGAGACATTTTCTGGTCCACATACTGTCGGCATGCCCTCTGCAATTTCACAGCTGAAGTAAGTAAAGCCAGCACTATCTGTTTGAACAAACTGCCTCAGAGGTATCCTTAATCTTATGATTTAGCTCATTTTCTAGATGATATATTGTGATGTGTGATGGAATTACAGCTGAATTATATTGGCTTTCTGGTTTTAAAGCATGTGTACCTCTGCAATAACATGAGACAGTGTTTATTTCATTGGATTTCCAGTGCCATAAGCAGGTGTAGTAAAGAATTTTTCATCGAAGTAATGCATTTCCTAGCAAACGAAGCTTTCCACAGGAACAATTCCATTTTCCTGAGATGCTTTTATTTTCCAGGGGGGTGAGGGGGAGAGTCAGCGTTTGGTACTCTCTCTAAGCACTAAGAAAACATAGAGGGAGAAAAGCTTAGAAAATATTTAAACAATTTTATTTTAAATCAAACTCTAGGAGAAGAATCAAGAGGTCTACAGGGTTTCTGTGGAAAGGCAGGACCTCTGGGAATAAAAGGAAATTTAGGACCACAAGGAGAGAAAGGGGAAAAAGGAGAACGTGAAAGTAAGAAATAAATTTCTCATGTTTCTATAATCTGGTTTTCAACCTTTCAGTATATTTTCAAAAAAATATTTGTGTTGGTGTCTGATATTCTTATAACATCATTTGAGGAAAGGTGTGATTTCCAGAGGCGTGAGAAGCAGAAAGATAAACCATCTGTTACATAGAAGATGAGTTGACCAACATAACCGGAAGGAAAAATTGTCTGGAATGAGTCACTAGTTTGTTGTTGTTTGTGAGTGAAATAACAAACCCTCTACATCATATTATAAATAGGACTTTTTTTCTTTCATTCTTTGCTTGTTCATGTGGTTTTTTCCTTCAACTTTAATTCATTTTAAAATGTTTACATGTGTGTTTTGCCTTTGAGAACTGGGCTTTTCCTTCTGAATAGAAGATGACTTTGGCAGCCCTGAGAATTCAAAGCCCGCTCAAGTATTCATCCTGGTCAGGGATAAGGCTCTCCCAGTGGGACAAATTCCCATGGAACAAATCTGTCATGTGGCCTCTGGTTTCTGCTCTGGAAGCCAAATGGCTCTTTCACATGTCATCGGGTTACAGGAGAGCTAAGCGTCTCAGAGACAGTTGTTCTGTAGTCATTTTAATATAAATTACTAACTTAATTACTAACTTTAACTTAATTAAATATATATTACTAACTGAACTCCTTAACTCTTAGTTGTAGTAACCCATGACCTGCAGAGACAAGTAACTGCTTTGGAAACAAAAGCACAGGTCTTGGAGACTGAACTGAATTGATACAAAAAAGGTAAGATCCAATCATTGATTAGTTTTCTTTTTGGCCTGGTAAAATAGTGGACATGCTTGTGCTGGAGAAGGGACTGAAAACAGTAGGTTGAAACAAATATTACAAATTTCTCTTGTGCTGCTTATGAGAGATGGTCATTAATTAAATGCTGCCTCACTGAATACATTGGTCCTGAACTGACCTGCCAAACTTTAAGGATCACTTTGCCAACATACAAGGGAGAAGCGTTGTTACATGGACTATGGGATCAGCTACTGTTCTCCGGGTGCTTGTGCTTTAAGCATTACATTGTATTTCTCTTACTGCCTTGGTTCTAGATAATTTTCTATGAGTAGACATGGATTGGGATGCTGTCTGCCTGGGCCTGGCTGCAAGTAATTTCTCAAGAAAAATCTTTCTGTGTGAAAACTTTCAAAGGATGTCTCATCAGTGCACTACTAGCCCTGATACAAATGCTGCATTACGAAAAGCACAAGGTCCATCATTGTTCTTAATTTAACTTGGGAGGAAATGATACAGGCTGCAATTTACAACATCATGAGCATCAGCAGAGTAAAGTCGTATAGCTCCACACTGGCCATCCTTCCAGAGATGTGTCTTCCCTGGGGAAAGCACAGCTTTGAAGCCATAGGTATGTGTAAACCCTGAAAGTTAACCTGAAATTGGGGCAAGAAATTGAAGAGCATGGAGAGGCTGGACATCTGGTAGTAGTAATCTCTTCAGCCATCTCCTTTTTGTCCTCTTGTGCTCATGTATCAGCACCCTAGAAAAGGGTGTCTGAAACTGTTGTGGAGGTTTCACCAGACACAGAGGCATATCAGGGGTTCCCTGCCCACAAGAGCATTGCACTTGTACCATTCCCACAATGTCAGGGGAAAATTTAACTACTCATATGTCCCAGTTTTTGTATCATTGTTATAAGGTGGTAGACTCCCTTCACACTAATCCCAGAAACCTGTTAAAGAAAATAGGATAAAATAACTTGCCCATTAAAGACAGCAACTGTGTTTCAAAAGAATTGCTGATAGCAGTTTTATCTGCTACATGAACAAGAGCTTCACTTTCTATTGGCTTTTCATGAAAGCCTGTCAAGGATGTGAGCTATATATTCCTACCTCTCCTAAGATAATTTATATTTTCTGGAGAAATACTCAGGCTCCCCAGCTCACTAAACCTGTCCCTGTGTCTCCTCTTTCTGCTCTGTTGCTTTAAAGCCTGAATTCTGTTACAGTCCCTCAGCTTTTGTTTCTGTGATAAAGCTGATGGGTACAGATCTCAGTTCCTTCGTATGATTTTAATTGATCTGTGATTTTTGCATTGAAACCTGGCAAGCTATTTTGTCATGCTTGCAATTTGAGGGTGGATTCCTAGAGATCCTGATTCAAGTGCAGTAATACTATATGAACTGGAAATGAAAAACATTAGAACAAGACTTGTGATGCAATTTCTTGTGAAATTCCAGTTTTCTTGAAGTGTGGGCTTAATATTTCCACATGTCTATTTTGTTTGACTTCTATCGGATTCTGTCTACTACTTCAACAAACAGTCTGTTCATAGCTGGTATTAGCTACTCTGAAGCACAATTATGATATAGGTAAATAACTATAGCATGATCAATTTTTGAAATAATTGAATTATGTTCACTTTTGTTTCTAGCTTTGATTTTAAAGAACATCAAGAATATTGGGAAAAAAATATTTGTTTCAACTGGAAAAGAAGATACTTTAGACAATGGAAAATCCCTCTGTGCAAAAGCTGGAAGTGCTTGCCTTGCCTCTCCTAAGAATGAGGCTGAGAATACAGCCTCTCTTAAAAGACTTAATAACACCTTCAAAGCAGGCTTATATGGGGATATGTGACGAACAGACTGAAGGCAGGTTCATGTATCTGAATGGAGGAGCTGTAATTTACAGAAACTGGAATGCTGGAGAACCAGATAATCTAAAAAAAGAAGACTGTGCGGTAATACAAGACTCTGGAAAATGGAATGACATTAATTATTCAGATCCATGTGCCTTAATTATTTGTGATTTCTTGAGCTGATGAATCTAAGAAAACCCAAAGTTTTTGCTCTCAATTTTGTGGTTGATATAGACGATCGGTCCCATAAAGGTGGCCTGGAGTAACCAAAACCAGAGCGTATTTGTAATTGTTTTCTCTTTGACATTCAGTTTTGAATCTCCTAATGAAATACAGAATTAATTTTTTCAATCATTATGAATTAAATTGCGTTTATCATAGTGGTAGTAAGGCTAATAAGTTATGGCATGCTCAGCAGGCTCGTTGTTATACCTTCCTCTGAGTTCCTCATAAACACAGCATAAGGGAAGCATTTTTTAATAATCTTGAAACTAATGAAAAATCTTCATATGTTCTGTCTTTGAGCTGAGCTGTAAACTTGGAGAGATTAGTCTCCACATGTTGCTTCTGATACGTTCTTTTATCATGTAAATAATGGACAGTGGATACAGTCCTATGTTATTTCAGTATTTACTGATGGCTTTGCTCCTAGTGTGCTTTTACTCTAGCTCTAAAATTGACTGATAATGATCACTTACAGCCTAGAGTGGTATTTGTCATCTGGGTATAGAGGTCTGTTGCACACAAGTGATTACTGACATGCAAATAATTTCTTTTTTGAAGTTTCAGCTATTTTTGTGCTGTTTTTTCCATGTGATAGGAAAATGAAACGTGCTGTAACTACAAAGAGGAATAAAACAGTAAAACACCCAGTCAGGTTGCTTTGTGTGTAGTAGAACAATCACAAGAGAACAGTCTTTTTTGGTAATCTGTAGGCGTCATTTAAAGTACAGGAGAGATAGATCAAGATTTAAATGCAGTAGAAAGCAGAAAATTTTTGTCTTAAATTAAACACAAGAGCCTGCTGGTGAAATGTACTCCAAGTGGAATTTAGCTCATGCAGAAAAACACCTTCTTTACGTGAATAGATTCTTAATATGAGAGAAGTGATACCATAGGCTTTTATGATTTTCTTGATGGAAGCTTCTTTCGCCTCAAGTGAACTACAAAAAGGTGAACTACAGACTGGATTTACTAGGTGAATACCGTGACAATAAAGCCCAATACTAAAAGTTCAACAATTAAGAAAAATGTTTACATGCAGGCTTTAAGTTTTTGAACACGGAAGAATAGAATTTTTTCAGTTTCTCTTCCACTTGGTTCAAGACATGTAAGCTAAGTACCTCCATGGAGAGGAGGACTGTGTCTACACTGGCAAGTTATATGGACCCACGGGAACATAGGAACGTACCTATTCAAAAGAGCATTTAGTGCCCAGCTCATCTGTTTTATAGCTGTCATTTTCATGGCCTAATTCCATGTCTGCATTTGTAAGTAATGGTACTTCTTTTGTCTGCACCCAGTTATACAGGTACAGCAAAAAAGCAATCACTGAAATTGGTGAAGGTATGAATTTTCTAGAATATGATTTATCTGCTGGTCTGCATCATGTTCTCCTTGTCATTACTGGCAATGTACCTTTGCAGTTCTCAAGTGAATTGCATTCCTTTTCTTCATTAATTGGTGTCCTGCAGCTATGAAAACAAGAACTTTTTAAATTTTGCCTGGGAGTTTTTAATCAATATTTATTATATGAAAACACAGGACATGGTGTGATATTTAAAAGACAAATTTTTGTTAACTTAGGACAAGAAAAAGACATTTTAGAGAGCAGGTACGATCCTGTTGTGCTTCCAGGTTTAGGGATTAGGAGAGGTAATTCAGTCTCCAATGCGTTTATTTGGAATCATTATTTAAGTCTACTTTGAGATTGTATCCAAAAAAAAAAAAAAAGTAATATGTTTTGTGACCATTTCATTTGGAGCTGAACTAAGAGCAATGATGTATTATGCCCCCAGTGCATCAGCCAGTAGGTTACAACGACTAAACTGCTGATTTGAAAAAGATTTGGAGTAGTATTTTGCAGATGTGAACGACTGCATTCTTGCAATGGAATTTTTTTAAATACCATTCCTAATTGCCGTATCAGTCACTCTCTCAGGAGTCCAGCTCTGAAATGGAATTTAGACTAATTTTTACATGATTTTGCCCAGCAAATTGTCAATAAGGTTGTTAGAAATTTATGAAGCTTCTCGTAACCTTATGTTAAGATTGTATGTGTTCGGAGAGCACTATACAGCATTCAAATGGGATTTATACAAACTACAAAACTCTTTACAGGTAAGTGCAAAAATATTCTTATGCTAAAAACATTGGGAGTTCACAAAAGCAGAATGGGAGAACATTCTGATCATATGCTAAGTTTCATAAAGTCCAAAGTTATCAGATAACTAACTTTTTTACCAGGCTGTGTACATGAAAGGTGTATTTGGCCCCAGCAAGGATGGTGTATATAGCAAATCTGAGCTGCATTTCTTGAATCTGCTTGAAGTAAATGCCTGGTCAGCTCCTCTCTTGGGTCTTTAAGCTCTCAGACTTCAGTCCGCTATCACTCCTCCTGTTCCCAGCATTACCTGTCTTGTAGGTTTACCCTGGTGTAAACCATCTCAAGGAAAATGGTTCCCCGGCTGTAACACCTCCTAGCTAGCTTCCCTTTCTTTCTAGAAAACCAAACTCTGCTCCATATTACACTGATGAAAATCCATCTCTGGTGGAGTTGCCCTAGAAATGCAGCTGTGTAAGGGAAAGTCTGGGTCTGTTAGTCTGGGCTTACCCAGTAAACTGTCCTGTCCTGAACCGTTGCTTGGAGGAGCACAATAGCAGTACTGAAATCTGTGAGCTTTGGCAGGCCATTGCGTGGGTGCAGGCTGATGTTCTGACTGGACAAAAGTCCACAGGGCAGGAGCAAGACCTGGAAATAGAAAATGCGCTTTTATGAAGTCATATTACTTCAAACTTTTAAACTCAGCAAGGTACTATCAGATGTGTCCTAAGTTCTGACCTTTGTCACCATGTATGTTAGCGACATCTTTCTTCAGGGACACATTTTTTCAGTAGGTGCTGAAAAGAGAGAAAAAGTTTGAAATTGTGTTCTGTTATCTTCTAAGAGGCTTAAATCAGCATCCCTGATGACCACTTAATTTTGCATTAATTATAAACTAATCTGTATTTGCTGTTATACCCTTGATTAGAACCTCCTCATTTGGTGCTAATATGACCTCTGCAGAGCTCCTGAGTAATTCAGGATGAGAGTAGCATTTGTTAATCATCTGCTGGGTTTATCTTTCTAAAACACAATGTCAGGCTAAGTACAGGCTTAGGAAGAGCTATCCTGTCACATGTGAAAAAATACAATCTCTGAAAAGCTCTTTTCCTTCTCTTATTTTTCAAGTGGCAATTTTCATTGGGAACTACAAGGTGGAAACAGGAAGCTATTTCAATCAGTAGCAACTTATACTTACTGCTTTATTTTTTAATTATAACAGATAGATATGGGGGAAGGGGTGGCTAACTGAGGCTCAGAGCAGAGGAGAAATGTGCCCTTTGCTCTGGCTTGTTTCCTGTTGTGAAGGCATCACCCTCTTGTGTGAAACATGGAGAGGAGAAGTGTTACGCAGGGAAGCTTGTGGTTTTAGCATTACCAAACTGGCTCTATCCTTTGGCCTAGCACCTGGTGATGTAAGGAAAGAAAAATAATTTGTGTACTGTAGTTTGGCCAATAGTGCCCAGGAGAAGAAATAATGCAGGAGGGCCTGGAAAGCTAGGTGCAGTCTCATCTCTCTCTTAAGCTCTCTGCCAAACCTCTCAGCATTAGCAGCATGACTGGATCCCCTGTGTTATCTCTAGGGAATTAATTTATCCTGAGGCACCTACAATTAACATCCCTTTTTATGCTCTGTGACCCTAGTGATGTTTCAGACATTGGTAGCTTGAGCTGTTTAGATCAGTGCTTCAGGGTAGACAGTTGTGAGAGTTCTTTCCTGGGCATCTGTGTACTCTCATTGGTTTATGTCTTCAGCTAGCGGCACAGTTTGTCCCACGGAGCTGAGCTTGTGCGTTAATCCTGCAAGAAGCTTCTGGCAGCTTTGCAATGGGAGGCAGACTCTGCAGCGTCTACCTGGTTGACATCCTCTTTCATGGTGTTTAAGTACAGATAAAACTTCAAGCAGCTGGACTAAGTATACGGAATGTGAGCGCAGTAACCAACCCACATTTAGGTGTCTGATTTCAGAGAGTTGGAGTGTGCTAATATTGGGCTTCATGGAAATGGGCCTGCATCAGCTCAGTGGTGCAGCAGACTGACTTTCAGTGATTCATTGCAGCCTTAACAGGAAATATTACTACAGAGCTGCAAAAAATGCATGAGCATGTATACTGTCTCACAACATTCAAAACCCCAAAGCTGGCCTCTGTTCCTGTGTTGCTTTGCCTCAGTTTGGTCTCTTATTTGCCCTGTTGTTTGGATAACTCACAGCAACTGTATCGTGATGAGTCTCAGTTGTTTACATCCCTTACTGTCCTACTCCATCTCACAGCTTGTACTTGAACACGTTTCAGAGGTGTGTCGAAGGCGGTGAGAAGGGGAAGGAGGGATGAAACCATCCGATCTGGCTGCCTTGTTGCAGCTTTTCCCATCAGGCTTTCTGTGCTCTCTTGAGGGAACTCTGGACAGCATCTCTTCCCTTTCCTCCAGTCTGCACTGTTGGGCTACAACACTTGGACACCTTTGCCTTGTGCTTGAGATATGTACAAAAAAGGCTCTGTGCAACCTTCCCCACTGCCCCAAGAATTACTCCCCAGCATGTTTTTGATTAAAACTTTGTTTCGATACAACAAGGGGAGCTGAACTACTACAAGGTGCTTCAGCTGAGATGGGCACAGCATTTCACCAAATTTATTTGGAAATCCTGATACCTCTTAAGCAACATCATAATGAATACAGTAGTTACTCTTTTGATTGTCTCCTACCTTGCACTTTACAGATCCGATGACACCTGTGCAAGGGTCCCACTCAGAAGTGGTTTGATCAATGCTACTTTGCTTACAGAGCACAACATTTTAACCCCTCTATCCCCTTATGCTTTCTCCGCTCTGCTTAAGCAGCAGTATTTATTCACAGAAGC